GAGAGAGACACAGCGAGAGAGGGAACACAAGCTGGGGGAGTGGGAGAGGGAGAAGCAGACTCCCCGCGGAGCAGGGAGCCCGATGCGGGGCTCGATCCCAGGACCCCGGGACCATGACCTGAGCCGAAGGCAGACGCTTAACGACTGAGCCACCCAGGCGCCCCTGGATGGTCTTTTTTTAAAAAAGATTTTATTTATCTATTTCAGAGAGAGAGCAAGCATGTGCAGGAGCATGAGAGGGGGAGGGGCAGAGGGAGAGGGACAAGCAGGCTCCCCACTGAGCAGGGAGCCTGAGATTTAACTGATCCCAGGACCCTTAACCAACTGAGCTACCCAGGCACCCCACTGGATGGTCTTAACGACAGATTGCAGATGACAGAAGAATCATACACTTAAAAGATTGATCAGTAGAAATTATCCATTCTGATACGCCAAGAGGAAAAAAGATTCATAAAAAGAACAAAATGTCCGTAGTCTGTGGAGTAAAACCAAAAGGTCTAACACACGGTTATTTAGAATCCCAGGAGAGAATAGAAAGAATGGGGAAGAAAAACTACTTGAGGGCCGCCTGGGTGGCTCCGTCGTTGGGCGTCTGCCTTCGGCTGGGGTCATGACCCCAGGGTCCCGGGATCGAGCCCCGCATGAGGCTCCCTGCTCCACAGGAGGCCCCCTGCTCCACAGGAGGCCTGCTTCTCCCTCTCCCACTTCCCTGCTCATGTTCACTCTCTCACTGTGTCTCTCTCTGTCAAATAAAAATATAAAATCTTAAAAAAAAAAAGAAAAACTACTTGAAGGAATAATGGGTGAAAATTTCCAAAATTTGAAGGAAGATGATTTATAAATTTAAGAAGCTCAGTGAACCCCAAAGAGCATAAATTCAAAGAAAAACCACATCTAGGCACACTGTAGTCAAACTACTGAAAACAAAGCCTAATGAGCAAAATCTTTTTTTTTACTGATTTATGAGACATTTATTAGAAACGATAAATTATTTATAAAGGGTCAGAAAAGGGCCATAAACTTCCAAATAGATTTTTAAAATGAAGCCAGCAACCAAAACCAATAATTAAACCATCCTGCCAAAAAAGTCAGCTTCCATGAGCCTCAGGGTCTGAATGTTTTCTAGTCACATGCATGCATCGGAAAACAACAGAAAAATCTTTTGTTTCAGTGACGGCAGACATAAACAGCTGAGGTGACAGTGGGACAACGTCTTTAAAGTGATAAAAGCGAAAAAGAACTTCCAGTCCAGGCCTCTATATCTGAGGAAAATATTCTTTGGAAATGAAGGTGAAATAAGTATATTTTGAGATAAGTGAAAGCTAACAGAGTTTACCAGCGACCGCACACTAACAGCGGCGCTAAAGGAGGTCTTTCAATCTGAAAAAAACATAATAGTAGAGGGAAACCTTGATCTTTGGGTAGAGATAAAGACCAGAAATGGTAAATATGTGAGTAAATATTAAAGCAAGTTTTCTCTTAATTTCTTTATAATACATATGACTTTTTTTTTTAAGACTTTATTTATTCATTTGACAGAGAGAGACACAGCGAGAGAGGGAACACCAGCAGGGGGAGTGGGAGAGGGAGAAGCTTCCCGCGGAGCAGGGAGCCCGATGCGGGGCTCGAGCCCAGGACCCCGGGACCACGACCTGAGCCGAAGGCAGACGCCCAACGACTGAGCCACCCAGGCGCCCCTACATATGACTTTTTAAAGTAAAAAATGTAATAGTGCATTATAGATTTTATAACATATGTAGATGTAATACATATGGCAATTATAGCATAGTGGATAGTGTAGAGGGGAAATGGATCTGTATGGTGGAAAGATTCTTACATTTATGTACAATATTAACTCTAAGTAGATAGTGAAAAGTTAAGGATACGGATATATATTAATGTCTAGAGCAATAACTAAAAAACAGTGCAAAACTGTATAGCCAAAAATACAAGAGGAAATGGAAATCTAAAAAAATTTGATTAACTCAAGCAGGAAAGAGGGAACATAAGACAAAATAGAGGGCACAGATAGAGAAAGGATAGACCTAGGACCAACCATATCAACAGTTGTATTCAATGTAAATGGGCTAAGCACTTAAAAGGCAGAGCTTGTCAGAACAGATAAATGGGCAAGGCTTTTGATGTCTACAGAGAGATGCAATTTTAATATGACACAAATGGTTCATAGTAAGAGGATGCAAAATGATACACCATGCAAAGAGTAAGCATAAAAAAAGTGAGAATGGCTATATTAATACCAGACAAAGTACAATTAAAGACAAAGATTATTACCTGAGATATAAGGGTCAATTAATCAGAACCACAAAGAATTCATAAATTTATATGCACCCCATAACAGAGCTTCAAAATACATAAAATGAAATTTGACAGAACAAGGAAAGAAATAGATATTTTCACAATTATAGTTGGAGATTTTAACACTCTTCCCTCAGCACTTGATACAACTAGACAAGAAATCAGCAAATATATAGAATATCTGTATGACATTATCAACCACCTTTACTTAATATTTATAAAACACCATACCCAACAACTGCAGTATATATTCTTTACAAGGACACATTGTACACTCACCTGGATAGATCAAATGCTGAGCCATGAAACAAGTCTCAACAAATTTAGAAAATCTGAAATTTTACATAATAAGTCATTTGAGTCCACAATGGAGTTCCATTACAAATTAACAGCAATAACATATCTCCGAATATCTGGATTTCAACATCACACTTCCAAAAAACAAAACAAAACAAAACAAAACCCATGGATCAAAGAAGAAAACACAAAGGAACTTAGAAAATATTTCATATGGAATAACTAAAAATAAAACGTTAAAATTAATGGGAGGCAGGTAAAAAAGTGATTAGAGGACAATTTATTGCTTTAAATGCTTATATTAGAAAAGAAGAACGGCATAAAATCAATGCCCTAACGCTCCATCTAAAGAAGCTAGAAAAAGAAAAGCAAGGTAAATCCAAAATAAGTTTTTAAAAAGGAAATAATAGAGATAAGAGCGGAAATAAATGAAACAGAAAACTATGGTGAAAATTAGCAAAGCCATACATTTTTTAAAAGATTTTATTTATTTATTTATTTATTTATTTATTTAAAGCATGAACAGGGGTGGGAGGGGCAGAGGGAGAGGGAGAGAGAGAGAATCTCAGGCAGACTCCCTGCTGAGTGTGGAGCCCAGCGCCAGACTGATCCCACCACCCAGAGGCCTGAGTGAAATCAAGAGTCGGTCACTTAATAAACTGAGCCCCACAGGCACCCCTACAAAGCCATACATTTTTTTGTAAGATTTATCCATTTATTTGAGAGAGAGCCAGAGAGAGAGAGAGAGAGAGTGAACATGAGTTGGGGGGGCAGAGGGAGAGAATCTCAAGCAGCCTTCCTGCTGAACGCGAGCCCACAACGCGTGAGATCATGACCTGAGCCGAAACCACGAGTCAGGTGTCCAGCAGACTGAGCCACCCAGGCGCCCCCAAAGCTATACATTTATTTATTTATTTATTTATTAAAGATTTTATTTATTTATTTGAGAGAGAGAGAATGAGAGAGAGAGAGCACGAGAGGGAAGAGGGTCAGAGGGAGAAGTAGACTCCCCGCCGAGCAGGGAGCCCGATGCGGGACTCGATCCCGGGACTCCAGGATCATGACCGGAGCCGAAGGCAGTCGCCCAACCAACTGAGCCACCTAGGCGCCCTGCCATACATTTTTTTAAAAAGCAATGAAATATATAACCCTTAGGAAGATTAATCAGGAAAAAGAGGAAGTACACTAATCAATATTAGGAATGAAAGGGGGATGTCAGCACAGATCATATAGGTATTAAAAGAATAACGAGGGACTATGAGGATGATCCTTATGCCAATAATTTTGATCACTTAGATAAAATTGACAAACTTCTTGGAAACAAAGCAATTTACAAAAACTGACAACAGATTAAACAGAAAATATGAATAGCCTTATTTCTTATAAATAAATTGAAAAAGATTTTATTTATTTATTCATGAGAGACAGAGGGAGAGAAAGAGAGAGAGGCAGAGGGAGAAGCAGGCTCTCACGGAGCAGGGAGCCCGACGCGGGGCTCGATCCCAGGACCCCGGGATCATGACCTGAGCCGAAGGCAGACGCTTAACCATCTGAGCCACCCAGGCGCCCTCTTATAAATAAATTTAATTTACTGCCAAAAAACTGTCCTAAAAACAAAACAAACAAGCACAACAAAAGAACAGTCCAGGCTCAGATGATTTCATGGGTGAGTTCTAGCAAATGCTTAAGGAATGAAAATCATCAGTCTCACACAACCACTTTCAGAAGATAGAAGAGCAGGGGACAATTCCTAACTCATTTTTGAGCTAGTATAAATCTTGATAAAATATTATGTAGAAAAAGAAAATTATGGAAAAATAACCCTCAAGAACAGTATAGCAAAAATCCTTAACTCTCAGCAAATCAAATCTAGCACTATATAAAACGGAAAGTTTTTCTATTGCCTATTTACAGATTCAGGGCACAAGATGTTCAGTGACCTGTATAGGCCAGCCAGCTGTTAGGTGAATCTATATTCACATAACACAACGCCACACACTTTCCAATGCAATGGCTGCCTGGGTGGTTCAGGGCTGGCTTTACAATGTAAAAAGGTGTGATGAGCTCCTGACATGGGAACACCCAACCTGTGTCTGCCCTGGAGATTCCAGGCTAAATGAGGGAAGGTTGTGAGTACAGAATGGTACTAGGGACTTGTTCATAGGTTCCTCTGCCCCCTGACTCCCGGTTTGCAGCCCCAACACAATGGTCACAATTATTGATGGGGCTATTTTGCTGCTGGAGGGCCAATGGGTGTACCTGTTGCTTCTAGAGCCTCCAAGCCTGGTCACATCAAGCCTTTACCGAGCAGGTCCCATTGCCATGGCAACACTGATGCTTCCTCCCATGTTTTCCTGATTCAGGCATTTGCCCTGCACAGAGATGCCCAGATCTTTCTCCTTCATCTACCTGGGGCTTCTGGGAGCACTGGGAAGCCCACGTGGCCTTATCACCGAGGACTTGGGAGACCCTCTGGACCGTGCAGCCCTGGACCGTGCAGCCCTGGACCGTGCAGCCCTGGACCATGCAGCCTTGGGCTGCGCAGCTGAGGTGTAGTCTGCTGATTCTCTCGCTCCAGGGCATTGAGGTGATTCTGATTCTTTCGCTTCAGAGTCACCCCGCAGCCCTCAGGTGGTGTTTCCTGCCAGGCAGCACCTGCAGAGTCAGAGAAAGTGAACAGGGGCCAAGGGCTTTGCTCCGATGGGACCTTAGAGTTATGGGGCACCCTGGGTAAGGGCTGGATCACTGCAGGCGGCGGGGGGTGGGCAGAGGGGGATCCCAAGCTGCCTTGAAGGGGACAGGTGGGAAGGGCTCCTGGCTGTGGAGGGCGACACCAGTTGCCGAGGAGCAGGTGCTGGTGGGAGAGGGCGGGGTTCCGACTCAGGGTGTGGGGGCGCAGGACCAGGTTTCAAGGTTGCCTGTGCAGAGCAGGGGTGCTCTGGGTCAGGCGCTAGGAAAGAGAGCATGGGAGGACTCCTGGCTGCAGGGATCAAGGAAGGGAGGGTTCCCAGCTGCAGGGTTGCAGGTGATGGGGGGTGGGTCTCCGGCTGCAGTGGCCGGGTCAGGGGCTTTGGGCAAGGCGAAAGGAGGTCTCCTTGCTGCAGAGCTGAGGGGTGCTTGGTGTAGGTTCTGAGCTGGGGCATGGAGGGCGTGAACTGGCCAGGGAGGAGATCCAGGTCACTGTGGGGGGCAGTGGGGTGGGCTGTCTGGCACCAATGTCCCTCTCTCCTCTTTGCATTCACAGGCCACCACTGCAGACTGCGACATTCTGCGCGCCCCTGTCCCATTACGCTACCTTCCCCGCCAGGTATCTGCCATGCCACTGACAATGCTGCGTGACTGGTGCAGGTGGATGGGCGTGAACGAGCACCGTTCCCTGCTCATCCTGGGCATCCCTGACGACTGTGGGGACGAGGAATTCCAGAAGGCCGTGCGCACTGCCCTGTGGCCCCTGGGCACGTACCGAGTGCTGGGCAAAGCGTTCAGAAAGGAGCTCGGATCCAGGGTCGCCTTGGTCGAGTTTGCTCAGTATTTAAACCGAAGTTTGATCCCCCGACAAATACCAGGCAAGGGAGGACCCTGGCCTGTGGTCTTTCTGCCCCAGGCCCCCGATTCAGAGTCATAGGATAGACCAGATTTCCCTGCACAGCCCCAGAGGCATGCAGGAGTTGGCCAGGCAGGTGTGGCAGGAGCTGCAGGTGAGGAAGGAGCTGCAGGTGTGGCAGGAGCTG